ACAGCACCCCAAATAGTACTCAAAATTGGTATGCCAGGTCTTCAAAATTGGTATACTGGCAGGCAGAACGTCGCTTTGACTGAGGCATAATGATTTGTAAGTGGAAAGCCCACCTGGACCTACGTCTCAAGACTGAAAATGTGGAGGGAGAAGGGTGAAGCCCATAGGGTCAGGGCTTTCCCCCATGAGGCCCCAGCCCAAACCTGCCCTGTTAGAAAGGAACCTCAGACCCTGCAAAAGGAGGAGATAATTTCACTACAGGAGTTGATGGTGAGTTCTTCACCTCCCTAAGAAAGCAGGTTTGAGGATACTGCCATTTACCCAGGCACACTGCCAGTAGGAAGTCATCCTTATCGAGTAACTGGGACATGAAGGTGCTTTGCTTGAAAATATTTTTTATCATAAATGTAATATAACCGGGCATGGTGGCTCACGCCTGTAATCCCAACACTTTGGGAGGCCAAGGTGAAAAGATTGCCTAAGCCCACATATTCAAGACCAGCTTGGGTAACTTGGCAAGACCTCATCTCTACAATAAATCAAAAAATTAGCCGAGCGTGGTAGCGCGTGCCTGTAGTTCCAGCTACTCGGAAGGCTGAGGCGGAAGGATCGCCGGAGCCCAGCAGGTCGAGGCTGCGGTTGCCGGGAGCAGCCATTGCACTCCAGTCTGGGTGACAGAGTGGGACTCCAACTCAAAAAAAACCAAAAAAACAACAACAAAAAACCAAGACGCTTGTTAACCAAACTCTGATTAAGCTTTTGTCATTCCCAAGGTCCCTGAATCTTGACCCGCCCTCTGCCTAAATCAGCATGAAATTTCTTCATCATAGCCCCCTTGAGAGTAGGCTGACCCCAGGATAAAACCTTGTCAATCTGCTGTCTCATCTTGTCACTCCTGTTTGTCCCACTTCCCCACACCCAGTTTTTTCTAGACTAGTTCATTCCTCCCGATCAAAGAAAAACCCTTTTTGCCTAACCTTTGAGATCCTGTAGATTTTATGGTCAGATTGTTCTTTTTGTTCAGATAGTCTGACTATCCCTGCCCCACTCCCAAATTCAAATAAAATCTTTTCCATTCAGCTTCTATGGAGTTTTATTTAAGCATAGCATGCTTTCATGTGACGCTGGCTCATGCCTGTAATCCCAACACTTTAGCAGGCCAAGAGGATTGCTTGAGCCCAGGAGTTTGAGACGAGCTTGGACAAAGTAGCAAAATCATGTCTCTATAAAAAAATTTTTTTTTAATTAGCTGGGCATGGTGGTGTGTGTCTGTAGTATCAGCGACGTGGGAGGCTGAGGTGGGAGGATTGAGTCTAGGAGTTCAAGGCTGCAGTGAGCTACGATCATGCCACTGCGTTCTAGCCTGGGTGACAGAGTAAGACCATGTCACTCTAAAGAAATAAAATGTTTTGTTGGTTTGTTTTTTGTTTTTTGAGTCGGAGTCTCACTTGTTGCCCAGGCTGGAGGGCAGTGGCATGTTCACAGCCACCACAGCCTCAACCCACTGTGCTCAGGTGATCCTTTTGCCTCAGCCTTCCTAATAGCTGGAACCACAGTCATACGTCACCATGCCTGGCTGATTTTTTGATTTATTGTAGAGATGAGGTCTCACTATGTTGCTCAGACTGGTCTCAAACCCCTGGACTCAAGCAGTCCTCTCATTTCTGCCTCCCAAAGTTCTGGGATTACAGGCTTGAACCACCACGTCCGGCAAGAAATAAAATTTTTAAATAAGCTGGGCTCGGTGGCTCAGCCTGTAATCCCGCGCTTTGAGAGGCTGAGGTGAGTGGACTGCCTGAGCCCATGGGTTTGAGACCCGCTTGGGCAATTTGGCGAGACCTCATCTCTACAATAAATACAAAATTAGCTGGGTGTGGTAGCGCGTGCCTGTAGTT